CCATACTGTTTTCCAGAGTGGCTGCACTAGCTTGCATTCCCATCATTCTTTCTTTCTTAATGTTTGTTTATTAATTTGAGAGAGAGAAAGAGAGAGGGTGCGGGGGGAGGGGTAGAGGGAGAGGAAGAGAGAGAGAATCCCAAGCAGGCTCTGCACTCAGCGCACATAGGGGGCTCGATCCCACCACCGTGAGATCATGACCTGAGCCGAAATCAAGAGTGGATGCTTAACCGACTGAACCACCCAGGTGCCCCCAAAATAAAATCCTAAAAACAAAAACCAAAAAATCCCTTCCTTCTGTTCATAAAATCCAGACTAAATTTTCTAAAAGGGACCCACAAGTTCAGTTGCCCATTTCCCAGAGTCTTCTGTCTCTGTCTCTGACTCTTCCCTTCTGTCACGGTGGTCCAGCCACTCTGGGCTTCATCCAGCCTCTCCACCACAGGCCCTTTGCACATGCTGTTCCTGCTGCCTGAATCACCTTTTCCTCCCTCTTTCCCCACCTATGTCCTAGTCATCCTTCAAGTCTTCCTCAGAGAAGCCACCTCAACCTCCCTGACCAGGTCAAGTCCCCCTAGTTCCATGAGTTCCATTCGTTCCCATTAGTCCCCATTAGTCCCATGAACCTCTTCTTCAAAGCTCTATAACTCAGTGCAGTTTTTTCCATTTGATCGTATGGTGAAGACCCAAGTCCTGTCTGTCTCTCCCGGCAGCTGTGGTCCCCATCAGCCCTGCCACAGTGCCTGGCTCACACTAGGTGCTGCATACACGTTTGTTGAGTGACTGCACACACGCACGAACGCGTGAACGCGTGAGTCGTTTCAGGAGTCCCTCCTTACTGAAGGCTTTCTAGCCCATTTCCAGCCCTGTCCCTGCCCCCACCCTTGCCCGGGGAGCACTGCCTGCCCCCTTCTCTGCACCTTCCTCCAACCATGGCAGACAAGCAGTATTCTTGCTAGGGCCAAATGCATCCCAGGGCTCACATACGCCTCCTCCATCAGCTTGTAAATTCCCGAGGAACCTCATGTGGCTGGCACTCCCCGCCCTGGCTCGGGTCTGCCATCCCCTGAGCCTGGGCGAGGGCTTCGTAAGTGAAGGGACACAGAGATCAGTTCACTCTCGTGTAACTGCCAGAAGGAATGACTGCCACCGTCATCTGGCCAGGGGACGCGAGGTCTGAGTGCAGGGTCTGCGGGGGAACCCTGGGTGCCCACCTCTCAGACTGAGGGTGTTCTGAGCCCTTGGCATTTCCCTCCTTCCACGGAGACCCGCCGACAGGGCTCTGGCCTGGGCGGTGTGGACCTCCCACCGCCACGGCCGGGAGCCACCCCCTCAGGCCTAGGCTGCGCTAATGGGAAGCCAAGAGCCCAAGAGAAAGCTCCAGCTGGGGCATGGTGACAGGGAACTGCGGCTCCCAAGGGTGACGTGTCACGTGCTCCGGATCTCCTACCATCAGGACTAGGATTCGCCTAGGGAGGCCATCTTTATCGTAACCCCGGAGGCTGGCATCCAGGGCCAAGTGTCCCCCTGAACTAAGTTTCACTCTGTCTCGGACTGGGCCTGCAGCCCCCTCCCACCTTTGTAGCAGAAAGTCCCGACAGCCCACTTGGCCGAGTCCCTCCTCCAAACAAAATCCCTCCTCCTCCCGCCCGGCCCAGTGTGGTCTCTTCCTGTTTGCTTTGGACACGGACCGCAGGCCCAGCTGGCTAGAATCTTTACCCTTTTGGAAAGAGCCTCCGGTTTTCAAAGCTGGTGCGGCAGGCAGCCTCCTGCCCTGTGATAAGGGGTCTCTGCTCCGGGGGCTCAGAGAGGGCATGAGCCGTGGCTCCCACCTGCCATTCCACTGAGAAGCCCCCCCATGCCGTGGCCCAAGCCCGGCCGTCTGCACACCCCACTGGGTCGTGGTGGCGAGTACCCAACCTCACCCAGCCTCGCCACACGCCTCAGCAGAAGGATCTTCCTTTCCCGCTCGAACCGGGTCTCCGGCTCCTTCTTGTCTGCGGAATGAAACCTCAGACCTTCTGTGAACTGCACCCTCTGGCCTCTCCTCTTTCCAATGCCTAGTGTGGCTCCAGCCGCAGGCATTTCCCACACCTTTCCATACCTCGGCGGCTTTACTCATCCTGCTTCTGCTCCTAGGAGTGCCTTTCCCCTCCCTCCTGTCCAACTCCTACTCAACCTTCAAAGCCCAGCT